GGAGAAGGATATCATGTTTGGTAAAGTGGAGGGTCAGAGAAAAAGTGGAATGCCCTCAATGAGATGGAGTGACACAGTGGTGGAAGCCATGGGCTCAAACATCAACAATTGTGAGGCTGGCGTCAGACCAGGTAGCATCTCAATCTCTTGTGCATCAGGTTGCTATGAATAGGCACTGACTTGATGGTACCCAACAATGACAAACATTGAGTTACTTTGAGTCAGAATCAACTGGACAGCTCTTAACAACCACAACAACAGCTTTCTAATTTGTTCTATTGTACATAGGGTTGTTAATAGAGGCAACTCAAGAGTACTTTACAGCGACAATAACACTCTTTACAAGAGTAGGTTGTCATGTTTGTGCTGTGGAGATGCTAGATGGGTTGAGACCACCAACCTTCTGGTTAGAGGCCAAGCACCAAGGTAAACATAACCTGCTGTTAATTTACAATGTCTGTGTGAAATCTCTAGGTAACCTGAGGAAAATCCAGCATCTGTGAGACTACAGTTCCCCATCATCTTTTCTTCGTCATCAGTAGCCACATAAAATTGCTCAATGGAGTACACGGATTTTTATGGAAAACTGGGAAGATAGATCTCTTGCCCTGAAATTCTGTACATGAGTATTTAGCCCTTAACTTTTATTGATGTTAACAGTAGTTTCTAAGATAAACTGAGCTCTCTATAAAAATAAATCCAGTTTTAAGAATCATAAAACAAACAAACAAATTAACAGTTAGTCCAAAGGATGACTGGACCGTGTAAACATCTGTCTCCACCACCCTGAGACCTGAAGAACTAGATGGTGCCCGACGACCTCTACCAACCACTCTGATAAGGATCGCAATAGGAGGTCCAGACAGAGAGGGAGCACAAAAAGTAGGACAAAATGCAAAATCATAAAAAGACCAGATTTACTAGTCTGATAGAAACTGGTGGAACTCCTCGGACTATGGCCCTTACCTACCCTTCAGGCCTGAAACTGAACCCATCCCTGGAGATCAACATCCAAGTAAACCACAGACAGATCTATAAAGTGAATGGAGTCTGGTGTGGCACTGTGGGCTAATGCACTGGACTGCAAGGTCAGCTGTTCAAATCCACCAGCCACTCCTCAAAACCCTATACAGACAGGGCTGCTATGAGTCAGAACTGAGTCAAAGGCACTTAACAACAACAAAAACATAAAGTAAATAGTAACATCAGGGAGGAATGTAAGCCTCAGTTCAATCAACCACCGGGGACCAAAAGGGCAACCTTTGTCGGGAAGCAAAGGTCAGAGGGCAGGAAAGAAGGACTAATAGAAACAGGCAGCCCAGGGAGGAAGTGGGAATTGGGGGAACTGCAATCAGTGTAACCCAACAAAATGTGTTCATATTGTTAAATGGAAAACTAGTTTGCTCTGCCAACTTTCACCCAATCCACCATTCCAAAAAAAATGTACATTAGTGTTAGAATAAAAAGAAGGTTCTGGAATGCTGCTCTTGTTTCCAGAATTCAGAGACAAAGAAAAGAACCTGAAAGGGTGCATCCTTCAGGACAGTAGCCCTGCTCACATGAAATGAGCGTCAATTTCTGGGAGATAATCTGACCAGTCACCACTCTGAGGGAGCCAAGTGTATACATTTACACTTCATGTGTACACGTTGAGCACGTCTGTCTACTTGGATTCTTCTCTCCCATTTGCTTCTAATCCTCTTCAGAGCAGGCTCCATGTCTGCTTTATGTGATCATTTTTGTTGATATATCTGGCTTTAGCGCAGTGATTTGTCTTCAGTAAGTATTAAACATAAACTTGTTGAATGAAAAGGGCATCATGCTTGGTAAAGTGGAGAGTAGGTGAGAAAGAGGTAGAGTCCCAATAAGATGGGCTGACACAGTAACAGAAGCAATGAGCTCAACTGTAACAAGATTGTGGGGGTGGCGTCGGAGAAGGCAGTGTCTGTTCTAGGGTGCAAAGGGTCACTATGAGTCAGAACCGACTCAGTGGCCCCTAACAACAATGTTGTTGTTGTTATGTGCCATGGAGTCGGTTCTGACTCATAGCGACCCTGTACAGGGTTTCCAAGGCTGTAAATCTTTAAGGGAGCAGAAAGCCTCATCTTTCTCCCGCGGAGCAGCTGGTAGTTTCAGACTGCTGACCTTGTGGTTAGCAGCCCGATTCGTAACGACTACGCTACCAGAGCTCCTTCTAACGACAATAACAGCAAAATAATTCTTTCTGCAGATATTTTTCTCTCCTATCAGCTTCTAATCCTCTTTCACGCAAGTTCCATGTTATCTTTGTGTCTTTGTTTGTTTGACTGATTTCAATGCTGTGTGCCTTGGTCTTACTGTTCTTTAGTGTCATTGAGTTGGTCCCAGTTCTGACTCAAACCGACCCCATATAGGGTTTCCCAGGAACAAGTGGATTTGAACTGCTGACCATTAGCAGTCCAGTGCTTATCCTACAGAGCCACACCAGGCCTACTTAGAAATTTGTTGAACCATGTATGGTCTATTAGACATATAGTTAAAGATGACCTCAGGAAACTGTGGCGGGAAAGTCAACGACGTACTACATTGGGCAAATCTGCTGCAAAAGACTTTTTTAAAATTTAAAAGAGCAAAAGACTATCACTTTGAGGTCTAAGATGCACCTCACTCACCCAAGCCAGGGTCTCTTCAATCACCTCATATGCCTGTAAAAGGTGGACCATGAATAAGGCAGACTGGAGAAGAATTATGAAAGTCCCATGGACTGCCGGAAGAACAAACAAGCCTGTCTTGGAAGAATGTTCCTTAGAAGCAAGGAAGGAGAGCTTCAGACATGCTAGCAGGAGAGATCAGTCTCTGGAAAAGGACATCGTGTTTGTTAAAGTAGAGGGTCAGCAAAAAACAAGACGACCCCAAAGAAGATGGATTGGCTCAGTAGGAGCAACAGTGGGCTCGAACCTACTGTTGTGAGGACGGTGCAGGACTGGGTAGTGTCTCCTTCTGTTGTTCGTGGGTCCCTTTGAGCCGGAGCTGACTCCACAGCACCTAGCCTCAATAACACGCTTTGAAACACCTGCAGCTTTTGACCAGATGTGTTTTATTTGCTGTTGGTCTCCCCACCCCACCCCCATTTTTCCTTTGATGTCATCCTCCACTAGTGTTATGTTGTTGTTTAGTTCCAACCCTGTATAGAGTTTTCTATGTGTGGCTAGTGAGCTTGAACTGCCAACCTTGAGGTTCAAACTGACTTTACAGTCCAGCACATTGACCCACAGTGCCACACCAACTCACTGTATCTATATGAATCTTGAACTTTGCATCGCCTCGTGAGTCTGAGAGACACAGGGACTCGGCCCATGGCCAGGGCCTTTGTAGAGCCCCAGCCCCGATCCCCCACCACACCTGAACAACAAGTGTGGCTTCCATGATGACATTTAAAATGTTTAGTTCAGCCATTTTCCTGTTGTAGTTTTTATCTGGGGTGCCTAGCAATGAGGAATGCACCAAAAGTTTAATAAAATCGTATGGGTCATTGAGAACAATTGTGAAATAGTCCGGTGCCTACCAAGCACCAACATATGCATCGAATGCACTAAACCTTGATCCCAACTCTTCTCACTGACAGGGGCAAAATGTTCCCCAGTCAGAGGTAGGTGGGCCTTTCACCTCCATGCTGCTCAGCGAAGCTGACAATTCCCCTGCCCTCTTGAGTCAGCTAGGAGTCCCCGCGTAGTGCAAATGGTTAAGTATTTAGCTATTAACCAAAGGGGTGGAAGTTCGAGTCTACACAGAAGCACCTGGAAAGAAAGCCCTGGTGATCCACTTCTGAAAAATCCACCACTGAAAACCCTGAGGAGCATAGTCTGCTCTGACATCCATGGCGTCTCCTGAGTCGGGGCCCACTCAATGGCAAATGGTTTTTGAGTCCATCTCCTTCTCTGCAGGCGTTCAACGTTGTGCAGCTGCCCTTGTGTGGGGCAATGGCCCCTGTTTCCTTTCTCCTGCAATTCTTGCTGTCCAACTTACTTCTTTTCTGTGGTTTCTCGCTGTTAAATCCTTTCTCTCTCTTCTTCTCAACTGTGTCCTCCTTGCTTTCCCTTTCCCCCTGAACGAATGTCTATGAGGAGACCCTTGGGTCATGGGCTGCGCAGGTCGTGTTTTTCAGGTTCATTCTGTCCATTGGGAGGGAATTTATCTCCCTTATCAAACACTGGTGATTAAAACCACACACAAACCAAAACCTAGTACCACAGAGTCAGTTCTGACTCATAGTGACTTGAGATAGGGTCTCCGAGGCTGTGAACCTTTATGGGAGCAGAAAGCCTCATCTTCCTCTCGAGGATTTCACCTGCTGACCTTGTGGTTTGCAGTCCAGTGTGTATCCTACAGCGCCACCATGGTCCTTCACACACACAACAGCTAAACAAATAGAACTAGGTCCCCAAACAGAGCGCTCACAGACTCCCATGTAGCTGAGGCTCTGATCCTCCTGGACCTTCGAGCCCAGGTCAGAGCCAGACACTTGGAGAAGTCACATTGGACAGGAAAGGAGTTTGGTGGCTCAGGGGCAGAATTCTGAATTTCATGCAGGAGACTTGGGTTTGATTCCCAGTCAGCACACTTCATGCAAAGCCACCACTCATCTGTCCACAGAGGTGTGTGTGTTGCTAGGATACTGAGGAGCTTCCAGACTAGGAAAGACTAGGAAGAAAGACCTGGTCATCTACGTTGGAAAATCAGTCAAGGAAAGCCCCACGGATCACAAAGGTCCAATCCAGATCACGGGGCTGGTGCAGGACTGGCAGGCAGTGTTTTGCTCTGATGTGCACGGGGTCCCCAGGTCCCTGAGAGGAGGAAATGGATTCTCCAGAGTTCAACCCCACCCTGCGCTTGCATGATGTAAAGTGTCTAAGAGAGGGGAGTGTGTGTGAATATGGGACGTGAGCACTGAGGAGCTTTTCTGTCTAGAGCTGGCATTTGTCTTTTGCAACCATATATATGCTTAGAAAATGTTACTTTAGTTTTAGGTACGTTGAGCGGTTCTTCCCAAAAAACTCTGCATTTGGTGATTGTCCTGTTCCTGGCCCTGAGCTTGTTCACCTCATTGCTGAGTTCGGGCTTTACCTTCTACAATAGCATCAGCAACCCCTACCAGACGTTCTTGGGAGCCACGGGTGTGTACACCTGGAATGGCCTTAATGGTGAGTACCTCGAGGAAGAAACCCACACTCTCCTCCCCGCTGTTGGCCTCTCTCTCACTCACGGGTGCACAATCCACACATGCCACGTGCTTGGGCTGGCATTTATTTCTGTCCATCGAAGGCAATCATGAAGCATGTTTTGGAAACAGAATTTTGTTTCAAATGCCCCGGAGGGAATCAAGGAGAGGTAAATGAGAAGGGTCGTAGAAGATATAATGTTTGACAGTTTATGCATTTGAGCATGGAATGAAAGGTATTAAACATTGAGCACACACCGGGCAGTCATCGTCTTGGGCTTAACTCCAAACACGACACGTCTGCATGGTTGAAACCTAAACAGAGATCAAGGAAAGAGTCTCTGTGCATCCTGCTTGACTGAACTCCCATGAGATGTACAGAAGTACACAGCATACACCCACCTCTGCATACATGTATACACATTTACACATATACGCACAGAGCTCACACCTTCATACACACATATACATATACACACGTGCACACAAACACACATACACACCTGACAGTCGTCAACCTGGGTTTAAATCCAAACAGGACAAGACTAAATGCTTCTGCCACCAAACCAAGAAAAAGCTAATTCATCGTCATCAAGTCTCTTCTGACTCATAGCAACTCTCCAGGACATAGGACTGCTCCCTAGGGTGTCCTAGGCTGTCAGTCTTTGTGGGAGCAGACAGCCCTCTGTGGGTGACCAGTGGAGTGCTCAACACTTAATCCACAATGCCATCAGGACTCAAATAATGTCACTTAGGAGAACCTGGGGACCATGTACTTCTTGTGGGCCCCTGTGAGCTCAGGGTGGCTGATAGGCTACTTGTTTGTTAGTTGGGTGGGGTGCTGGGGTTGAGGGTGGAGTTAGGATGGAGTGGACCACCACCTGGCCTCACACCTGCCAAGCATCAGGGTGCACACCTGGGTCAGAGTGGCTGGGAGAGGTCCCAGGTCCCCACCACGGTGGGTACTGGAGAAGGCTCACGCACCAGCTCTTAGGGCAGTGACATCACTTGGGGAAAATCTGTGGAAGTGTGGACCACAGCTTCTGACATTATCAAAGGGTTGGCACCAAAATGACCCCAGGGTCCATGGTGGCTGGAACCACAGGACAATGAATGGAATCTGGGATTGTCCCAGGCCAGTGTGGATAGACTCACACCTCAGCTCTGTGGTCCTAACACCTACACATGTGGACGGGCTTTTCCTCTTTCTGAGCTTTCCTGTTCACCACTGTTGCCAGAATCGAAGTGTGCTGCATAGGGTTTCCTGCGGCTGGTAGTTTTGGAAGTGGACCAGCAGATCTTTCTTCCAAGGCAATTCTGGGATCTGAGAAGCACCTTAACCATGTGCGCCACTCCAAGATTCCATCTCTTGGTGTTTAAAAGAAACCAGTCCCCAAAGCTGATGAGTATCTGTCTGGGTCAGATACAGATGTCTAGTGGATCAAGTGTTATCCCTTCTACTTCACTGTCGGCTGAGTGGCGGAAGGTTGAGGGCCCTGGTTACAATCTCACAGAGTCTGATCCAAATTCCGGGGTTTCTTTCACAAGCTGTTTTCATGACTATAGCTTCTCTTTGGTCAACTGAACTAAAGGTACAGTGGTTGGCGCTATTTTCCAGGCAAAACAAGAGACCAGATGGTTTTGAGTTTGGGTTTTGTCCATCAGGTTTCGGGCACTGCTGGATTTGGAGTCTTGGGTCGTGTTGGCAGAACCGTCTTGGCTCCACCTCTTGGCATCCTCAGTGTCCCTTCAGCTTTGCAGCAGCCAGGCTCTGACCTGGTAAGGCATGACATCGGCCAGAAAACCTAGCTCCTGATTCAGGTGCCTCAAGAGCAAAGACCTCGTCTCTCCTGGCCATACTTACCGCTGTGGAGTCCATTCCAGCTCAGTGGCCCTGGAGGACAAGGGTTCTGAGGTTGGAAAGTTTGACAGAAATAGACAGCCTCATCTTTCTCCCATGGTACTGCTGGTGGCTTCAAACCACTGACCTTTAGCAGCCAAGTGCTTTGCCACTGCACCACCAGGGCTCTCCTCCTCCTGGGTTTGGTTCTCAGGGGAATGACTCCCCCCGGGCTGGGGCTGCTCCTTCTCAGACAAGGGGTGACAGTGAGCACTGGTACTACTCAATCCTGAGTTGGTCAGGTTTGCAGCTCAAAGCCCCCACCCCCACCATCCCATGAAGAAGGAAATAGCAGTAATGGTGATGGTTGATACAAGCAATCCCATCACAGGCAAATGTTGAAAAGGCTAGCCAGGTGTTTACAGATGCATTGACCACAATCTTTTTTAAAAAGACAACAGTGCTGTCTCCCACAATGGCATAGCTCACCGTCTCTCCCTCCTCCTGGAGGTCAGGCTGACCTTGCACGTGAGGGGGCTCACAGCAAGTTTGTGGAGGAAAAGATGAATCAATGGGGCCGAGATGGCCTCCTCGCCACCCCCAGCCACCCCTCAGAACAAAGAATTGCTTGACAGCCAGAGTTTGCACCACATTCCTGCGCCCTGCTCAGGGGCAGGTTCTAACACACAGAGGACCCACAGGTGGGCGGAACAGAGATCTGACACAGATGTGTTGGGAGGAGGCTGGGTTCCCAAATGGCGGGGAGAGCCTTTGTTGGGCCTTTTGACTCCTCACCAGACTCCGCTCCATGGGGCTCACCACCCGTTGATCTGGGGGCTTTGAGGAGCAGACGTTGCCCTGAACACGGTCTCTCTTGGCTCCTGGTGTTTCTTCCCACAGGCTGTGGGGCTGGAGCGCTTCCGGAAACTGTTCAGTGGACAGATGCCCAGTGTTGGAGGCCGAGTCTTTAGAAGGGGGGTGTGTGTGACCACGCTGACACTAAAGTGCCCTTGCCTTGATCCTTGGTCAAATTCCGGGGTGTTCTGAGCTGGAGTCAGGAAAGTTATAAACCCTTTTGTTGTTGTTGTTGTTAAGTGTCTCTGAGTCCATTCCAACCCATAGCGACCTTGTTTGTATAGGGTTTCCAAGGAGCAGCTGGTGAGCTTGAACTGACAACCTTACAGTTCAAACCGACTTTGCAGTCCAGCGTATTAACCCGCAGCACCACACCAGGACCCTTTAGGGGCTGGGAACTCCTGGGGGCTGCAAATGGTTAATGCACTTGCTGTTTACAGAAAGACTGGAGATTTTTCACTCAAAGGCCCTCAGAAGAAAGACCTGGCAACTTTCCTGACATGAACGATAGTACCACGATTCAGAATCGACTTTATTGCAACTAACAAGGACAAGTAACGTTTGCACAATCCTTGTACGGCATGGTCTCCCTGGTTCGTGACAAGGAGTTGGTGCTAAGCGTTCAGCTGCTCATCAAAAGCTTGGAAGTGAACTCCACCCAAAGTACCTAGGTAGAAAGGCCTGGAGATCTGCATCTGAAAACTCTGCCACTGAAACCCCTGTGGAGCAGTGTTCTACTCTGACAAGCTGGGGCTTCTCACGGGTCAGGGTCAACTCAAGGCAGCTGGTGTGGCTTTTAGGGACTTTCCTTGGCTGACAGACAAGTGGGTAGGGCCCCCACAGACAGAAGAGGAGGCGACTTCAGAGCATGTCTCTAATGGAACGGGAGGAAGAACACCAGTAGCCCTTCTCAGCCAAGGTGCCCTTTGACCACACCTGGGATGGCTGGGCCCTGGGGACAGGGGCGCAGTGGTAGATGGGAGAATGTAGGAGCTGGTGAGTGTCTTGCAGACCGGCTGATGCAGCATGTGGGTTCCTCAGCTGAGGCACCCACACCCCAGATGGCAGAAAGGGATGTAGACTCACAGTCCATCCCTCAGCCACATGTTCCTCCGGCCCCACAAAGCTGGAGAAAGCAGGCACTTGTGTCATCCCTGGAGGGGACCCAGGCTAACGTTTGTGTCTGGGTCCTGGCCCTTCCCAATTCAAATCAAAGCGATGGGCATTGCACTGTAGAAAAAAGGCTAAACGCTTACTCATCCTGTCCCTTTATGTAGGAGCTTTTATAGGGAGCTTCACAAGGCACGGAGGAAGGGTAATTAAGGCACTTGGAAACCATCTGAAGATGGGGGCTTTTGTGTGCATGAATTATTAGGAAATAAAACACCAAGAATGCCGTGTGTCATCAAGGAGGGCGAGACCTGTCTCACAAAACCCTCTAATTAGGGCCTTTGGGGAACCGTTTAGAAACATCTGGGGGTAGACGCTTGGCGCCACAGTCTCAGTTAGTTGTGGGTAAATGTGGGCAACGGAGAATCACGTGGAGGCGTGTTCTGAGGGACTTCTGTCCTGGGGTCCCTGCTGACTATGAGTGCTACACACCTATAGACAGCTGGACCTGCCTCACCTGGCGTTCTGTGATGCCGGCTTCTTATTCAAAGCAGGTGGCCTGAGACTATGAATACCACCCCCTCCCATGGCTGCAAGTCACACAACCCAACATGGGAGCCCTGCTCAGTCTCCAGACTGTATCCTTCTAACAGAGTCAAAGTAGCCCCCCCCCCCCCCAAGGTTGTACTAAGGAAAGTCTGTTGTCACGGAGGACAGCGTGAAGTCTACAAAGAGAAAGTCCAACACAGAAGATTATTATCCAAAAGTTTAGTGAGGGACAGGTATGGAGAGGTGAGCAGGACTAGCGTCATGGTCATATATAGATTTGGCAAATGACAGTTTTACATATGGAATTTGGCAAAGGACAGTTTTACATATGGAGTCCTGGTGTGGCACTCTAGGGTCAGCACTAGACTGCCAACCACAAGGCTGTTGGTTCAAAAGCCACCAACCTCTCCTTGGAAACCCAATACAGGGTTGTTATGAATCAGAACCGACTCAACAGCACTTAACCCAATGGAAGCAGCAGTCAAGAAATCAAACGACGTATTGCGTTAGGCAAATGTGCTGCACAAGACCTTTTTAAAGTGTTGAAGAG